AAAGAAAGAAAGCGGATTGGAAGACACAAACTCAGAGTCAGCGACAAGATGCTCCCTCCTCCTGTGAGACCGCCCCCGCTTCGCCAGGGGGAGGATGGCACCACCTCTCATCTCGGAGCAAGATCAGATCCTCCTCCCCCTTCTTCTGCCTCCTCACCTCTTGCTCCCCACCTGCTGCCCTCTTCCCAACGTGCGGTTCCCAAGACCCGAAAGCGCAACCTCCACCAGAATAGCGCCCCTGGGGTGCCCCACTAGCCTGGGTTTCCGGCTAATCCCTAAACCCTCTACGCACCCCAGCCCCATGACGGGGGAAGGGGGTGTCACTATAGCAAGGCTTCTCTCTGGTCTGTTACTAAGGTCGAGGGGGAGAGGAGGTAGGAAAAAGAGACATTCCCTAGCCCTTAAATAGGAAAGGATACAAACCCGCCCCCGCACCACCTTCCCCTGGACTGCTTTCCTCCCTCTCCACCTCGACCCCTCAAAAGCCTACCTCTTGCAAGAGAGGGGAACCAAACTGCAGTCCAGGTCGCCCCCTTGTGCGAGGCGGAGGACATATCTGTGTGCGCCCCCCACCCCCACCCCAGCTCCGCGTCCTTCAAATGCGGGGGCAGGCGTGAGGCTGGCCCGGCGACCCCTCTCCGAGCTCTCGGGTGGAAAGAACCACACCGCCCCATGCCAGACAGTGCCGGGAGAGCTGAGGGATGAGGGCTTTATCCCCTCAGCCCCCACCCCGAGTCTCTCCTCTACAAGGACCCGCCTTCCCTCCCCAGCCCCTCACCTGTTCTTGCTCCCAGCTCCGACGCTGCGGCCGCCGCCTCCGCCCCCGCAGGTTCCGCTCGGCTCTGCCTCCACTCTCTCCGGCTCCCCCAGCCGATTTCGGCGCGGCTGCTCCCCTGGCCCCGCTCCCGGCTCCCTCCTTCCTTCCCTCCACCTAGCACCGGAAGCCGCGACGGCGACAGGAGCAGTGCGGCGCACCCCTACCCCCAGACAAGGATACTTCCCACCTCCCCGATCGCGCGAGAGTTGCGCGGCGGCGACCGGCAGTTGTCGCGAGATCCATCACCATGGCAGCGGCTGCAGCAGAGGCAGCCGGGTGTTAGAGCTGAAGTCCGGGCGGGGGCAGATGTGGGGGCTGGAATCTGCGGGCGGCGGAGGCGGGAGCTGGGAAGTGAGAATGAGACAGTGGGGACAGAGGTGAGAATCCCAAACCCCAGGGCCATGCCTGGAATTTAAGACTGGGGCTGCATACTGGCCACATTGGTGATGGGTTGGGCTGAGAGGCCCGGGGCTTGGGCTCCTTGGACAAAGTCAGGAGCAGCGTAAGAGTGAACAGCTTCTTGCTTTGGCCCTTACCCTTTCAAATCTCATCTTTATTTCTTAACCAGGGCTAGGTGCATCCCCCGTCACAGTCCTCACTGCACCACTGTTGTCGCTTACTACTAAGAATTCGTTACTCTGGGGTCTGAATCAAGAGATCTTGTCCGTAGGGAACAGGGAGAGTGATGAATTTACGAGAATGAAAGAAACAGCTGGGCTCTGGGCCAGTTAGGAAGTTGGAACTTGAAAGACAAGCGGTTGAAGCCTAATATTCAGACGTGTGGTATGAGGAAGTATACCTAGATGAGTATGTAATTTAGTATTACAAGGAAAGTGAGGGCTTTTGCCCCCATGTTTCTCTGTTCCTGCCCACCGCCACTTTCCTCACATTCATTTCTGCACCTCTGTCTGGGCAGGCAAAGCTGCCTTGGAACAGCTTGTGATACAAGAAGGGCACTAAGAATGGAAGAAGGTTCTTGAAGTGCCCTCTCTCCTTATAACAACAGTACAGATCTTCCTCAGCTTACAATGCAGTTACATCCCAGTAAATCCATCATAAGTTGAAAATATCTTAAGTTGAAAATGCCTAACCCACCGAACATCATAACTTAGCCTGGCTTGCCTTAAATGTGTTCAGAACAATTATATTAGTCTACAGTTGGGCAAAATCATCTAACACAAAGCCTATTTTATAATAAAGTTGCGAATATCTCATGTAATCTGTTGAATACTATACTGAAAGTGAAAGACAGAATGGTTGTATGGGCGCAGAATGGCTGTAAGTTTATCTGTTGTTTACCCTTGTGATGGCATGTCTGATTGGGAGCTGCAGCTCACTGCCACTGCCCAGCATCATGAGAGAGTTTCGTACTGCATATCACAAGCCTGGGAGAAGATCAAAATTCAAATTATGGTTTCTGCTCAGTGCGTGTCACTTTTGCACCGTCTTTAAAAAATCGTAAGTTGAACCATCGTAAGTTGGGACCATCTGTATAAGGGAACACGTGGCTCTTCCCTAAAGCTTGAGCCAAAATTGTTGCTTTTCTAGGTTTTTGTTTCTTTTTTTTTTTTGCCTTGTTTCTTGCCTCCTTCCAAAGAAGAACTAAGCTGGTAGATAGCTACATCATGTCTATCCCTTGTCCCCATCAATCCCCATGTATGTATTCAGCAGTCTCTTCCTCTTGTCCCAGTTTGTTTTCTTATTTTAACCTGGAGAATAACACAACTCTAGAACATGAAGCCAAGAGGACCTTAATTTAAGGTGGTAAAGGATGAGATGGATAACAAAGAGCATGTTTACGACAAAGAGAGTTGTATCTGTCCTCGGCTGTTGCCATTAAGGACCTTTGCCTTCCTAAGCCCTGTGTTTTAAATGGCAGAAGACTCCTCCAGTGTTATCACACACTCCTAGAGTGGGCCCTATGATACCTCCACATAGTCACTCTTTCCATTTCTTTTTCTAGAATTTTCTAGCACATGCCACCAGACACACACATTGACCACCAAAATTATGCTTTGCCACTGCCCTTGCTAGGGCCTCAACCATATCAACACACATTATGGGACTCTGACAGGAGGTGACACCTGTCAGTGTTCCTGCCCAAGACTTCAGATCCTCTCAAAGCTGGGCCCCAGGTATGACAGAGGATGGAGATGGTGACAGTATAATAGAGTTAGCAGCAAGTACCATGGTATTTGAGTCAGAACTGATGAATGGAAGTGGAGAATCTCCCAGGCCTTCTGTCCTTCACCCTTCTGGAGTCTGGAGAGGAAAGTGCCTGTTGCAGCATTACTGGGTACTTCCCATGGAGCAAACAGGAGCACAGACAGGAGGGGTGCTGCCCAGCTGGCAATTAGCCAGCCACCACAACTTCCCAGCTTTCCAGCCACTTGAAAGGCTGAGGGGAGAAGAGGTCATCCAGAGCTGAAGGAGGCCAAGAGGCCCGACCAGAGTTCATCAATCTTTCTCCCTCCCTCTGGCTGCCATTGGAGCTAAGGAAAAACTGAAATTTTAGCCACCCGCTCTGTGGGTTGCACACTCCCACTCCCGTCACTGACCCCAGGCCTGGGCCTGAGCCCAGCGCGTGTGCCGGGAGCAGGGGTGGGGAGGGGGGTGTTGGCCTTGCTGACAAAATCCATTTGGAATTTCTCAAGGTTGTGGTTTGGGGCTTAAGTTTGCCACAGAGTGTGTCTGACGAAAGAAGAGAGAAAGCTAGAAAGAGAGAGGGAGCCAAAAAGAGCACAGAAGAAGGAAATGGGGGGAAACTAAATATTCCTGCTGTGATTTCATGGGAGATTCTCCTCCCTCTTCCTGAGTGTGAGAAATTCCTGTTCTGGATATTCCTTATCATTATTTTCTCTCATTTCCTAGGTCCATTCCAGCTGCATCCCTCTCTCCCCTACTACCCCACATAGACCTTAGGCTCAATCAGTGCCTAAAGTCCTATGTCCATCAAATTTCCAAACCCAGAATTCTCAATGAGCAAGTGGAAACTCAGGACATACAGTTTTGCCATAAAGTACTGCCTGAAACCAACACTCCTTGCCGCCCTTGCTGCTGCCCTGATGCTACCATCATTTCACCTGATTTTGAGGGTGATTTGTGTAGCAGATATATAGATATACATTGCCTAGGGGAGTGGACTGTTTCTGCATTCCCTGGCCAAGGAGATGACCTGATAGAGTCAGGATCTTTCAACGCCATAAATATTCAATTATTTATAAAGTTCTAAATTTTTGATGCATATTCCTTTTCTGAATTGAAAGATAATGGTTTCTTTTCAAAGATACTGGACTAGGAATAGAAAGAAATTGGAAATGAAATAAAAGAAATTCTGTTTTTTCTAGTTATGGTTATCTCCTAAAAGATAAGGGAATTATTTTACTAAGATGAAATGCAGAAGAGCTCTGAATAAGGATGGACAGAATACATATGCAAATAATTCAGTGGGGGAGCATGCTGGGTTTGCTGATTTCCAAAGCAAAAAACTCCAATTTTGAGCATAAGAATCCTTTATATATGTTTCCCATTAGTCTTTTGTCTATCCCTAAGTTCTCTGGTTTGGAGCCAGAGAGAAAAGCAGCTGCTCTTTCGGGCACAGGTGCAATGTTGAGATATCTTCAGGACTTGAAAACCCCAGAACAGAGGTGACCTCATGGGGTATGATAGGGGTCAAAATAAACCAAAATCAGAAGGCCAAATCTGGTCCTGCAGTCCTTTTTGTGAATTAAGTTTTATTGGACATAGAGCCATGCCCATTTGTTTATGTATGGTCTATGGCTGCTTTCGATCTATGACAGCAGAGTCTGCTGGCAGACTGGAGTAGTTTTGACAAAGCCCAAAAGCCTAACATATCTACTGTCAAGCCCTTTACAGGAGAGAAAAAAAAAAAAAAGAAAACCTCTCAAACCCTGTTTTAGGGCAGTGGAGGTGAGGCATTAAGAGAGTAAATAGGGCCTATGTTTAGATCTCTAGTCCCTCACACCCAGACGTTCCCCTGCCCCACCCAGGTTTTTCACACTAAAAACTAAGTCACCTGAAGACCATTCCAAATCCTTCAGTGGAATCAGGCATGATATTCATAAAGTCATTGAGTGTGGGAGGGTAGGAGAATTCACCTGGAAAAGAAGCCAGGACTGGGATCCCAAGTGTGGGTAGAAATATCACCATCTGCATCCACCGATCCAGTAACTTAATTTATTTTTGTTACAAACAAGAACCAAGAACAAGTCTCAGTACAATAAATTATCCATTCCCATCCCTCCTGCTGAAGAAAGAAAAAGAGGCTCAGAGAGTCTTAGGTAAAACTCTTCCTTTGGAGGGTCCCCTTTAACATCTGAATTGGGGGGAGAGGGCAGCTTCCCTAAGGGCCTGGACAGACAACTTTCTGGGTTTCTGAGTGCCCTGTATTCTCTCCCTTCCCTAAGAAAACCCTCTCTACTGCTGTTTCCCATTACTCCCTAAGAGGGGGCCCATACTGCAGTAGAGGAGTTTGGGAACAGCAAATAGAAGTGAGTGGTCTCTTTCTGGATGCAGGTCTTATGGCTCCACAGGATGCCTGGGGCTCACCCTCAAAGAAGAAGAGTGGTCAAACTATAAGGACTCCCCAGCCAAGAGGAGTATGCATCAGAGTTAAAGGGACCGCAGGTTTGGGTAGAGGGTGGCAATACAGTTCATTTCATCTTAGTCCATTCAGGTGTTTTAAGGAGCAGTAGAGGGGGACAGGTCCCCCCTAAGGCCCTCCTAACTGTGGGGGAGAAGGCCACACCTCACAGACTCCACCTGACCCCTACTGCCCCCAAAGCTATTTCCAGGTAGATACTGTGGGCTTCCGGGGCCAAGATTGATTGACCCTGGACAGAAATCAGAGCAAAAGTCTGCACTGGTGCTCCTCCCCTTCCCCAGCCCTGCAGTGAGGCTGACCCTCACTTACACACGTTGACCCACTCTGTGACCTTGCACTCGTCACACAGCACATAGCAGCACCAGTGGAAGCGGCAGTGACAGCGTTCAACCCTCGTCTGCCGGAGCACATTGTGCCCACGGCCACAGCACAGGCTGCCACAGCCATCCAGCAGGCGACTGGTCTTGTTGCAGGCCCGGCCCCGCGTGCCGGGGGAGCCCACGGTGGGGTCTCGCTCACAGAAGTCAGGAGACTTCTCAAAGTAGACCAGCTCTCCTGAGAGGCGTCGGGGACGAAGGCGGGGTTGGAAGGCTCCAGAGTTGCGGTTGTGGGTATCGATGAAGATGGCGCGGCCCAGCCGCTCCCTCAAGGCTGCCCCCACCGCTCGGAACTCTGGGGCTGCCCTCCAGCAGGTCTTGAACTGGCAGCTGCCAGATGTGCCATGGCACTTGCATTTCCGCTTCAGGTTTTCAGTTACCACCTAGAACATTGTGAGGGTGGTGGAGAGGTGAAGAGGAGGGCAGCAAATGGACGGAGTACAGAGACACGGAAGAGGGGAGGGAATAGAAAGCACAGAAGGATAAATAGAGGCAAGAATGACAACAGATATCAGAAGAGAAAGGCACTTCGAAGCTGGCTAATAGCCCAACTCCCTCATTTTCTGGTTGGAGAACTAAAGCCAGAGCACAGTGTCATTCACCCATCTTCAACCACTAGCTGGTAACAGAGACTCAGCTCCAGTTGTCCTGACTCCCAGTCCAGTGCTCTTTCCAGACTGAGCACTGCTAAATCAGGGAGTCTAGCCCAGAGCACCACTAAATTCTGTGGGGAAGGCAGCTGTAATAATAGCTACACATAGTGAGCACCCACCAAGGACTAGGCACTCTGCCCGGTGCTCACTGTTAATGACATTGTTAGGTACGTATCATTAGACTCATTTTACCGACGCAAAACTTAAGTTATGTGACTTGCTCTGCTCCAGGTCACCCAGATGGGGAGTGACAATCACCCACCACATCTCATCCTCTTACTCTGCTGTGCCTCCCAAAATCTGGCCAGGCCTTGAAAGCTAGGGAGACCCAGGACAAGTTGCATACACATACCTGGCGCCCCACCCTGTTGTTGTGGATTCGCATGCGTGCCTGGATGTCCCGGGGAGCTTCCCTGGAATCCAAGAAATCCCGAGAGAACTTCTCTCCAAAGTCCATGTCATGGTTACAGCCACCCCATTCCCATGTGTCCTGGGGGCCAGGGCTGGAGCCTGAGCCAGGGCCCGGGCTGGGCAAGGAGTGGGGAAAACTCTTGCCCCGGGACAGTGCCTGCAGCTGCAGCAGTTTGGCCCTCAGCCGATCCTGCTCACCACTGCCCTTCCAGCCGCAGCCGCAGCTCACCAGCTTGCCCAGGCTGCAGGCCGTGGCTACTGCGTGCATGACCCCAGCAGCCAGCATGGAGAAGGAAAAAGCACTCTCCCGGAAACCTGGGGATGACAAGGGTGTGATGGTAGGGGTAAGTTTGGCAGGCAGCTGAGAGTAAGGAGGCCGAAGGAAATAAACAGCCACCCTTCAATTCCAGAAATTCATAACTGCGTCCTGACCCTGGCATTCACCAGCTGAGTGATTTGGGAGCAAGTCACAGGAGAAGGAAGAGGACAGAAAGCATACAGCCTCAGTTTCCTCATCTATAAAGGAAGAGGATGGGTTGAGAGGATCCCCAAGGCCCATTCTTGCTGTGTAAGTCTGGGATTTTCAGGTGTGGATGAAAGAGCCAGTCTAGAGGGAAAGACCCCTGGGGTTGGGAGATGACTAAGAGAGTCCCTGAGGTCTTTGAAGATGTGTTCACTGAGTTCTACATCTGAAAGCCTTAGAAATTCCCCAGCCCTGCAGGTGGGGTGGAAGCAGAGGCCTTTGGTTTTGTGTTTTTTTTTTCTCTCCCCTAAATTGAAGGTTATTTTAATCAGTCTCAACCAACCTACCCTCCACCACCCTAACTTCCCCAAAGCACTGGAACTGTGGAGCTGTCCTTCCTCTTCCCAGTTTATAGTTTTATATTTGCCCGTTAAGACTGCCCTTTATGTTTATCCTAACCTGCTATTACTCTATAAAATGCTGGGATGGGGAGAGAGGTGGGGGTGATTTTTCCCTAAGGCCCTCTTAAAATGTTGGCTTCTTTGTCATGTTTTGGGGGTCACAGAGGCTCAGGATGATAAGCCTTTCCCAGACTTAGGGAGACATTCTTCTCATTTGGGCATCAAAGCCTTCCCCTACCCCAGGCCCTGTGGTGAAGGAGGGGGTCCCTCACTTCCTTTTAGGCAGAGGATCTCTGGAGCTCTGAGAGGAACAGAGACAGCACCTCCTTTGGAGCCAGGCCTCTCCCACCTCAGGATGCAGGGCTCCTGGCCCAGCCTCCTGATCCCCCCAACCCCAACCCTCCAGGGGTGAAGCTGTTTGCACAAGTCTCGGGAATTCCCCCGCAGATGGCGGCTGCCTATTAACCCTGTAGTCCCCAAAGTAATGCCCCTACCCTTAAGCTGAGCCTCAGATGGATGTTTACTCCTCCAGGGATGCCTCCCAGACCAGGGCCCCCAGACCAGGCCGGCAGTGACCTGTTCTCCACTCCTCTAGCCTTTCCTCACCTGCTCAGGTGAGAGCCACCTGGGGCTCTCACAGCACAGAGGAGGGGGATGCTCCCCGGCTTCAAAGCCATCAGGGTCTTTGTTCCCAGCTTCTGCTTCTGGGAACCCCAGTAATTAGGGGGGTAGGTTTAACCCTTAAACGGTTGGGGGCGTCACCCCACCCCCGCTGAGGCTCTGGGGACACCAGCCTGGGCTTGTCCCATGGAGAGGGAGGGGCAGAAAATTGGGGGAGGTAAAAGAGGGGGGCATTTGAAGCTTCCAGGACTGGGGGCATCTCTTGCTCACAGGTGCAACCCAGATCGAGCTGGGCGGAGGCAGGAAAGAGGGGCCCTAGGGTAGGGGAGCCGGGACCCCAGCTGCCTTGCCGGCAGCG